TATGATGAGCACCCAATAACTCCAACTGAAGATTCATATTCGATCATATGCACAAGTTTAGCCCTTGAGTCAGCTTGTAAAACCTTCGACGATTTCAAAGCCGCAGTAAAGAAGTTAGTGCAAATGCTAAGGATGGGTGGTTACATTTCTATCCTCTTTGTAGAGGAAGAAACCTTCTATTTTATAAAGGAGGGTAAATGGATTGTTCTGCCACTTTCCCTTTCACAAGTCCAAGAGGCTATCGAGGAAGCTGGTTGTGTTGTGCTTATGACTGAACGTGACCCAATGCCTATAGAGTCTCTTGAAAACCAAATTCTCTTTGATGCAAAGGCTTTTGTATTTTTAGTAGCATACAAGGTGAAATGACCGCATTTTGTTGTATGACGTGTCTTCTATAATTTTAAAACAAACTCATCACTGATCGCTTGGCCTCAGCTCATACGAGACTACAAAAAAAAAAAACAGGAACTGGCATCAACGTAGGTTGGACAGCTCTCAAACCCAGTGGCCAGAATGAGCATGGTGGAACAATGTCGGGGTGCATGCCAGCAAAAGAGGCTAGTAGCCCGACGAATGTGATCGAACAAACATATCCAGCAACGTTAGTTGTCCCCTAAAATAAGTAGCCAGAACCGCTACCTTGTCCCTTGAACACTTTCATTGCTTCGGAATGCATGCTCTAGCATAGATTATAATTATCGAAAAATTTTAGCGGGCTTCGTTAGACGGTAGCTGCATGCATGCTATATAATATAGGCAGCGCCGCTGAGCATAGGCACTACGCCCGTCGTTCAGAACAGAATCACGCGGATGCGCAGCGCCATATCTGCGGTCCGAGCCAAATAACTTCGACACACAGGCCTAAGTGTGCATGACATTGACGATTGTGCCACAACTCCAGCGCACTTCCAGGATTCTGCTAAATTACTAGCCTCGTTCCCAGTCTTTGGGCATACCGGATAACTTTGAATATTGTCCGTTTATTTCCGTATTCTTCCCGCGGTACGTTTGTATACGTCGTCTTCAGTGAGTTGCGACTGATGCGGGCGCCGTAGAAGCTCTTATATAATATATGCAGATCTAGAACCACTGTAGGCCGCTAGAGAAGGGTTCCATGTTGGTTTTTCACATCAGAGGAGTTGAGGCAAACCGATCTACACAGCCTTCTGTGAAAGGCTGCAGACGAGGTAAGCATGCTACCAAGTGAAACACATCTTTCGCCGTACATTTGCCACGTTTTTAGCTCATAAATAGACTTGGCAAACGTTCTCTGGAGAATTTTAGCCTGTGTGAAAACGGGATCTTTATATCTCGCGCGTGCGCGAACAGATTGTCCCATAAAAGAGGGCCTGGGAACGAAATTACTATCGTAGTAATAGTTACGTCATAGATTGTCGTCGACGTACAATTATTAGAAAAACATCTGAGGTTTGAGCTTATTGCTCTGTGCTGCAACCATGAGTCTACTTCATCAGTCCCAGTACTTAACTCACTTCAGTACCAAGCTCTACCTTGAGGCATATTATTCCAATGTGGAGAGTGACTACTTTAGGATGAGGTTGCTTCATGAATTCTTTCGAAAGTACAGCTCTAAATGGAACAGAGGGAGTGCGAGGTTGTTGGATTTCGGCGGCGGACCAGTTATACTAAACTATATCAGTGCAGCACCACATGTGGCTGAGATTGTTCATGCTGCTTACAAGGATGATGAGCGTAAGGAAATTGAATTATGGAAGAATGATGCTGAAGGTGCATATGGCTGGAACCCCCATATCATGCATGTCGTTAGTGAGCTTGAAGGTCTGAAAGGCAATGATGCATGGCAGGAAAGAGCAGCATTGATGCGTTCAAAGATCAAAGTTGTAAGCTGCAACATATTCGACAAGCACCCAATTGATCCTTCCGAAAACCCCAATTCGTTTTCCATCGTTTGCACTAGTTTATGCCTAGAAGGAGCCTGTGAAACCGTGGATGGTTTCAAAGCTGGAATAAAGAAGCTCGTGAGATTACTGAGGCTAGGTGGTTACATTACCATCCTATTTGTTGAAGACCAGACCTACTATTATATAGGGGAAGAGAAATGGGCCTCGCTACCAATTTCACTAGCTCAAGTGAAAGAAGCTGTGGAAGAGGCAGGGTGTGTTGTACTAATCAGTGAACGAGATCCAATGCCTTTGAAGCATTTCGAAAATCCAACTTATGATGACGCAAAGGCTTGTGTATTCTTAGCTGCGTACAAAGTTAAAGAATAGTGAACTGTCGCAATTTTAGTTTGTGTACATACTTATAAGTACCAGCGAGTCCAACAGTCTGATGTGCAAAGCACTTTTTGAAATTATCTTTTGCCAATGCTAAGGCTTGTGTTTGTAGCTTAAAAACAACGATTTATATATATGTAGTGATTGCTCCATGCAGGTGTAGGCTACGTCAAAAATAGACTTGCCTCTACCGGTGTGCACCCTTTTATAGACAGACAAGGGAAACAAGGAGATTTATGATTGGTAGTATACACTCGGAAGTGCATGTTCTCTGCCAATTCTTTCTGCATTATGACTTGATGTGTGGGCCATCTGCCTATCAACAAAGTGTGCACCTGGATAAAGCACGGGTATACATAGCAATGGGAGCAAACCCCTCAGATAAGGACACTCTAAAAACAGGGAGTAGGAAAATATTAGGGTGGGCCTGCTTCAAGCAACATGGAATGCCATGCATGTTAGTCTATGATATCATAGATAATGCTACAACTGCTTTTATCAACTAGAGACACCCTCAAAGTATACAATGGGACCTCAGATAAGGGACCTTCAAGATAGCGAGACCTCTCTACTTATACTTTGGTGTGTTATTTGACCTCTTGAGTTAGGGACGACCTCTCTACAAGGGACAAAATCATTGGTCCCACAGTGTCCCTTGTTCAGAGGTTCCATCCTAATCCACCCCACAATGGTGCAGCAAGGAGAGTGGGAAGAGTGGTAACAGACACAGCTGCAAAAATTATAAGTGCTCTTGCTGTGTATGTGCACCGTAGGATAAAGACTGTCAAACACTGAGTATTCCAAGATGACTGATGATTTGTATACATTCGTATATAGGCAGGTGACAGTTTGCATATTTCCATCAACCAGAAGGTGCTATATTTTAGTATTATAGCTATAAAAGTAGAATAATTATCATAAAGTAACACAAGTATAATTCACACAGTGATAATAATATCCTATGATTGTGCCTATAACATGTGAGTTTCAGGGGTTAATACACAAGTCGGCAGACCCTAGTTCTAAGAGGTCACACTGTCTCTGTGAGCGTGTCACTCTTTCTCTTTCTTCTTCTTCTTCTTGAGTCTCAGGTTGAGGGGACCGACATTGTCCCCGGTCTCCTTGTTGTGGGTCCCGTGGGTCCCGTCACAGTAGGGGAACTGTAGTGAGATTAGTGTGAAAATTACAGAGGATGGATGAGGGGATTAATGTAGTATAGAGGATATAGTGAACCTCTGAAAAAGGACCTTCCGAATGAGTAACACGTCTCTCTCTATAAAGGACACTAGCCTCTGCCCCCCACAAATACATCAGTGTATGGTATTACATCCGAATAAGGTACACCTCTCAATAAAGGACAATTCAAAATATGTCCCCGAGGTGTCCCTTATTCAGAGGTTTTACTGTAATATAAGGGGGGGGGAGGATATATTACTGGAGGAGGGGGTTGTAGCAATAGCAGTAGGAAATAATTGTTATAGTTGGCAGGCTAGCAGGACTACATACTCACGTCTACAAAAACATACAGTGCTTGATTTCCAGCAGCGACAGAAGGACACCTTCCCGTCCTTCTCCTTCATCCTCTTGTCCAGATCCTCCATGTCAAAGTTGTCGATGACCTTCAGGTCGCTCAGTTTCTGCCGTCGATTAACCTTCGGCCTCCTCTCCTTCCTCTGAGTGAGGACGCCAAGGAACGGGGACAGGAGGAGGTAGAGAATGACAAACAGGAAGAGGATGAAGGGCACTAATTGGAGCCACTGGTCTCGAGTCAGCTCTGCAAACCCCGCAGTCGAGGAGGGGATTGGGAGAGACTTGAGATAGCAAGGTACCTGAACCTGGAGAACAAACATTGACAAAGGTAAGGTAAATGGGGGTAACTTCGGACGCGGTGTAATACACGGACATAACTCGCTATTCAGAAACAAGAGAAAGATTCGCATAATATTTCACTTGATTATACTACCTACCAAAGTGCTAACAAATCTTCCTCGCATTTTTTCGCAGCGAATAATTTCGAGGCTGGTGTCCGGAGTTACCCCCATTTACCTTACAAATCTAATCCGGATACCAATGGAAGAGGAGGAGGAAATGTCCATGACTCCATATTATATCCATCCGTTATAGCACACTTAAAAGATTTGGCATGATCTAAGCAATGCTCCTTTGGTATAGGTGATAGCTACTTGGATACATCAAACTGTGAGAAGGGTATATAATTATAGTAACTCCATGCAACAGAGACAATAATAGTGAGCAACTTTACCATTCCCCACATAATTTCCTTTCCTTTTTTTCCACTCACACTACTATAGCTAAGTTTTCCCTTTCAAAAAAGTATGAGTCTTCTCGACCAGTCGCAATATTCGACATGTTTCAGTGCAAAGGAGTATCTTCAGATGTATTTCTCCGATCAGGAAAAGGACTGGCCTAGCAACTTTCGAGCAAAGCTCTTTAATGAATTCTTCAAGAAATACAGCCCCAAATGGGATAGAAAGAATGCAAGGTTGCTTGATTTCAGTGGCGGGGCAGTTATACTAAACTACGTCAGTGCAGCACCGCATGTCTCTGAAATTGTTCATTCTGCTTACAAAGAAGATGAACGAAAGGAAATTGAAATGTGGAAGAATGATAATAAAGACGCCCATGATTGGAGCCCCTATATCAAGTATGTTGTAAACGAGATTGAAGGTTTGAAAGGAGATGCCGCATGGCAGGAGAGAGTAGCATTGCTGCATTCAAAGATCAAAGTTACGAGCTGCAATGTTTACGATGATCACCCAATAACTCCAACTGAAGATTCATATTCGATCATATGCACAAGTTTAGCCCTTGAGTCAGCTTGTAAAACCTTCGACGATTTCAAAGCCGCAGTAAAGAAGTTAGTGCAAATGCTAAGGATGGGTGGTTAGCTACATTTCTATCCTCTTTGTAGAGGAAGAAACCTTCTATTTTATAAAGGAGGGTAAATGGATTGTTCTGCCACTTTCCCTTTCACAAGTCCAAGAGGCTATCGAGGAAGCTGGTTGTGTTGTGCTTATGACTGAACGTGATCCAATGCCTATAGAGTCTCTTGAAAGCCAAATGCTCTGTGATGGAAAGGCTTTTGTATTTTTAGCAGGATACAAGGTGAAATGACCGCATTTTGTTGTATGACGTGTCTTCTATAATTTTAAAACAAACTCACAACTGATCGCTTGGCCTCAGCTCATACGAGACTATAAAAAAAACCAGGAACTGGCATCAACGTAGCTTGGACAGCTCTCAAACCCAGTGGCCAGAATGAGCATGGTGGAACGATGTCGGGGTGGATGCCAGCAAAAGAGGCTAGTAGCCCGACGAATGTGCTCGAACAAACATTTCCAGCAACGTTAGTTGTCCCCTAAAATAAGTAGCCAGAACCGCTCCCTTGTCCCTTGAACACTTTGATTGCTTCGGAATGCATGCTCTAGCATAGATTATAATTAGGGAAAAATTGTAGTGGGCGTCGTTAGACGGTAGCTGCATGCATGCTATATTATAATATAGGCAGCACCGCTGAGCATAGGCACTACGCCCGTCGTTCAGAACAGAATCACGCGGATGCGCAGCGCCATATCTGCGGTCCGAGCCAAATAACTTCCACACACAGGCCTAGCCTAAGTGTGCATGACATTGACGATTGTGCCACAAAATACTCGTCTCCAGCGCACTTTCAGGATTCTGCTAAATTACTAGCCTCGTTCCCAGTCTGGGGAGCCGTTGGGCCGGGCATACCGGATAACTGAATATTGTCCGTTTATTTCCGGTTGAGGCAAACCGATCTACACAGCCTTCTGTGAAAGGCTGCAGACGAGGTAAGCATGCTACCAAGTGAAACACATCTTTCGCCGTACATTTGCCACGCTTTTAGCTCATAAATAGACTTGGCAAACGTTCTCTGGAGAATTTTAGCCTGTGTGAAAACGGGATCTTTATATCTCGCGCGTGCGCGAACAGATTGTCCCATAAAAGGGCCTGGGAACGAAATTACTATCGTGGTAATAGTTACGTCATAGATTGTCGTCGACGTACAATTAGAAAAACATCTGAGAGCTTATTGCTCTGTGCTGCAACCATGAGTATACTTCATCAGTCCCAGTACTTAACTCACTTCAGTACGAAGCTCTACCTTGAGGCATATTATTCCAATGTGGAGAGTGACTACTTTAGGATGAGGTTGCTTCATGAATTCTTTCGAAAGTACAGCTCTAAATGGAACAGAGAGAGTGTGAGGTTGTTGGATTTCGGCGGCGGACCAGTTATACTAAACTATATCAGTGCAGCACCACATGTGGCTGAGATTGTTCATGCTGCTTACAAGGATGATGAGCGTAAGGAAATTGAATTATGGAAGAATGATGCTGAAGGTGCATATGGCTGGAACCCCCATATCATGCATGTCGTTAGTGAGCTTGAAGGTCAATGATGCATGGCAGGAAAGAGCAGCATTGATGCGTTCAAAGATCAAAGTTGTAAGCTGCAACATATTCGACAAGCACCCAATTGATCCTTCTGAAAACCCCAATTCGTTTTCCATTATTTGCACTAGTTTATGCCTAGAAGGAGCCTGTGAAACCGTGGATGATTTCAAAGCTGGAATAAAGAAGCTCGTGAAATTACTGAGGCTAGGTGGTTACATTACCATCCTATTTGTTGAAGACCAGACCTACTATTATATAGGGGAAGAGAAATGGGCCTCGCTACCAATTTCACTAGCTCAAGTGAAAGAAGCTGTGGAGGAGGCAGGGTGCGTTGTACTAATCAGTGAACGAGATCCAATGCCTTTGGAGCATTTCGAAAATCCAACTTATGATGATGCAAAGGCTTGTGTATTCTTAGCTGCGTATAAAGTTAAAGAATAGTGAACTGTCGCAATTTTAGTTTGTGTACATACTCATAAGTACCAGCGAGTCCAACAGTCTGATGTGCAAAGCACTTTTTGAAATTATCTTTTGCCAATGCTAAGGCTTGTGTTGGTAGCTTTAAAAAACGATTTATATATTATGTAGTGACTGCTCCATGCAGGTGTAGGCTACGTCAAAAATAGACTTGCCTATACCAGTGTGCACCCTTTTATAGACAGACAAGGGAAACAAGGAGATTTCTGATTGGTAATATACGCTCAGAAGTGCTTGTTCTCTGCCATTTCTTTCTGCATTATGACTTGATGTGTGGTATACATGGATAAAGTACTGGTATACATAGCAATGGGAGCAAACCCCTCAGATAAGGACACTCTAAAAACAGGGAGTAGGAAAATATTAGGGTGGGCCTGCTTCAAGCAACATGGAATGCCATGCATGTTAGTCTATGATATCATAGATAATGCTACAACTGCTTTTATCAACTAGAGACACCCTCAAAGTATACAATGGGACCTCAGATAAGGGACCTTCGAGATAGCGAGACCTCTCTACTTATACTTTGGTGTGTTATTTGACCTCTTGAGTTAGGGACGACCTCTCTACAAGGGACAAAATCATTGGTCCCACAGTGTCCCTTGTTCAGAGGTTCCATCCTAATCCACCCCACAATGGTGCAGCAAGGAGAGTGGGAAGAGTGGTAACAGAAGCTGCAATAATTATAAGTGCTCTTGCTCTGTATGTGCACCGTAGGATAAAGACTGTCAAACACTGAGTATTCCAAGATGACTGATGATTTGTATACATACGTAGGCAGGTGACAGTTTGCATATTTCCATCAACCAGAAGGTGCTATATTTTAGTATTATAGCTATAAAAGTAGAATAATTATCATAAAGTAACACAAGTATAATTCACACAGTGATAATAATAGCCTATGATTGTGCCTATAACATGTGAGTTTCAGGGGTTAATACACAAGTCGGCAGACCCTAGTTCTAAGAGGTCACACTGTCTCTGTGAGCGTGTCACTCTTTCTCTTTCTTGTTCTTCTTCTTGAGTCTCAGGTTGAGGGGACCGACATTGTCCCCGGTCTCCTTGTTGTGGGTCCCGTGGGTCCCGTCACAGATGGGGAACTGTAGTGAGATTAGTATAAAAATTACATGAGGATGGATGAGCGGATTAATGTAGTATAGAGGATATAGTGAACCTCTGAAAAAGGACCTTCCGAATGAGTAACACGTCTCTCTCTATAAAGGACACTAGCCTCTGCCCCCCACAAATACATCAGTGTATGGTATTACATCCGAATAAGGTACACCTCTCAATAAAGGACAATTCAAAATAATGTCCCCGAGGTGTCCCTTATTCAGAGGTTTTACTGTAATATAAGGGGGGGGGAGGATATATTACTGGAGGAGGGGGTTGTAGCAATAGCAGTAGGAAGTTATAGTTGGCAGGCAAGCAGTACTATATACATACTCACGTCTACAAAAACATACAGTGCTTGATTTCCAGCAGCGACAGAAGGACACCTTCCCGTCCTTCTCCCTTCATCCTCTTGTCCAGATCCTCCATGTCAAAGTTGTCGATGACCTTCAGCTCGCTCAGTCTCTGCCGTCGATTAACCTTCGGCCTCCTCTCCTTCCTCTGAGTGAGGACGCCAAGGAACGGGGACAGGAGGAGGTAGAGAATGACAAAGAGGAAGAGGATGAAGGGCACTAATTGGAGCCACTGGTCTCGAGTCAGCTCTGCAAACCCCGCAGTCGAGGAGGGGATTGGGAGAGACTTGAGGTAGCCAGGCACCTGAACCTGGAGAACAAACATTGGAAAAGGT